GAGGGCTGGCAGGAAGGTGGCAGCTCCCAGGCCCAGAGGCACCTCCTGTGTTGATGTCCCAACAGTATCTATCCAGGACGAGATCGAGACACGAGAGGAGCCAAACCTCCTGATACCCCTCATCTATCCCAGCTTCTGCAGAGCATGGCCATGGCTCCAAGCTGGCTATGATCCTCCCTTCCCTGCAGACCTCGGCCATCACCAGGTCCCTCAGGACCCAGTCCTAACGCTTCTCCTCCCCAGCAGCACCAGGGGATGAAGCGGGGAGGGCAGCGAGCCGGGCTGGCCCATGCCAATCCCACTGACACACATGCAACTGTGGGCAGCACAGAGCTGGGTGAAGAATAGACAGCTCCGACCACACTATTAGGAAAAAATTTTTTACCATGAGAGTTGTAGAACACTGGAACAGGTTGCCCAGAGAGGTGGTGGATGCTCCATCCCTGGAGACGTTCAAGGCCAGGTTGGACGAGGCCCTGAGCAACTGATCTAGTTGGAGATATCCCTGTTCCTTGCAGGGGGGTTGGACTAGATGACCTTTGAAGGTCCCTTTCAGCCCTAACCATTCTATGATTCTATGATTCTATAACTAGGGAAGGCAAAAGCGGTGATAATTGGTGATTATCAATGGATGGCAAACAATATTATTGATTATCTCTACGTAGTCGGTAGCCACGGGGCTACCTACTTGCTGCACCAGGCACAGGGCTCTAGAGTGCTCCTGTCCCACTGATAGTTCAACTGACATTTCCTGGTCCCTGGTCTTAACCTATTTTCTAGGTGTTGCTGACTCTGCTGAAGGCCACAGAAAAGAAAAAATATGGCCAGGCTGCGAGACCCAAAGTCCCTTGGTTGCTCTCCTGGTTTACTTGGTTTTGGAGGATGTGCAAGGCAAAGTGTTCTTGGAGTGTGGCAGAACATGGCCCTCACTGTTTGGGCATGGGGCAGAGGCTTTGGGGTAGCAAGGGTGTCAGCAAGTTCACCCCGTCATTCTGGAGGACCAGAAAGAGATGTACAGGAATAAATTTGGTGTGGTTTTGTGAATAGGAGCGAGGCCAGAGTTGAGACTGCATGGCCATGGGGCTGGGAGAAGACAGTGGGACATCCTTCTTTCTTAGACCATCAAGCATGGGAGCCAGGTCAACCTCCTAAAACTTCACTGAGCTAGATAAAAGACTCGTGGAGAAAGGTGGTCCTGGAAGGTCACCGGCCCCATTTAAGGAGAGCCAGGGCTGGAAGCAGGCAAGGGTCAAGCCCATGGTGCCCTGGCTGCAGCACAACCATCCCCAGGAAAAGCCTTTCCCCAGGAATAATGCCCTCGTCCAGCTCACCCTCAATTCCGCAGTTCCGAGGGAAGGACAGGAGGAAAGTTCTTTCTTCTATTTCTGTTCAACTTCTCTGCTTTGTTATTCTTTTCCCCAGCTCCCCAGATTTGATGGCTGCAATAGTCCTCTGCTTCTCATCTCCAGGGGCTCTCCTCTGGTCACCATAAAAATCCCTCCTTTCCCCCGACCACTCACAATACTGAGCTACAGGCTGGGCTTGGGTATTCCATTTCCCTTCTCCAACTTAAATTATGCACTATTCCAAGCAGAAAAATGTGTTTTGACCCAAAGCACCACCCAAACTCACTGTCCTCCATCAAACCAATTTTAACAAGAGCTGGATCCACCTTTTACTTCTTTTGGCAAACCACCTCTTTGACCAAAACCCCAACATTGACCCCATCAGACCTTGTTGTGAAGACACTCTCCGCCTGCACAAATCTCGCCCCAAACCCTCAGAATGGTTTTGGAAATTAAACTTTTTGATTCTTTGGGGACCCAGCTCCTGGGAGAGGCAGCTACCATGTTGGACACAGTGGTGGACCCTTCCTTCTCTCCCCACCCCGTTTTCCAGCAAGTGGCTCAGGTGAAGGGTGCAGAGGAGGATGTGGCATGGACCACGTTTGTGCCAAGTGGCACAGCCATTCCCTTGGCTCCCAAAACGCTGCTCGGGTGAGGCAGCAGCTCTGACCCAAATTTCCTTTGTCGTGATTAACCACCCGTTCCCGTGGCTGACATCAAAACGCAGCGGTCTGCCCACTTCCCCCAGGACGGTGATGAACACTGGTTCGATCAACCAGCAAACCCCAGCGTTTATCACTCCAGTCTCGCCTGAAATGAACTTCTCTTTTATTTTTATTTTTTTTTCTGCCCAGGCCACAAAACCAACCCATCACACTGCTCAATAAATAATACCGGTGTTGCTACCCCATGCCTTAGCCATGTCCCCAGCTCCTCCTCACTGGGCCACCCAGCGCCGATGTCCTCGCTTCCTCCCACCTGTCCCAGCTCCGCAACTAATGATGGTGTTAACAAGCTTTTATCTGGGGGAAAAGGGAAGGAGCTGGAGAGAGGAAGCTTTGCAGGGGGAAGGGAAGAGACATTCCTGCCTCAGTCATCAGGCAACTTTCCCCTTCCTCTTGTTCACTCCCTCGCTGACCTTTGGCTGAGCTGCCAAAGCTAAAAAGGAAAAGGAAAGAAGGAAAAAAACAAACACATAAAGAGACGGAGAAACCAAAAAGCAAGAGGAGCTGAAAGGACAGGCGGAGGGAGAGACATCATCTCGCCTCTGGTAATGATTTATCATCAAAGGACGGGTGGATGGAGGCAGATTGTGGGCAGCATGGAGGGGTTTTTCTGGGGGATGCCCAAGGGGGAAGGAGATAGGAGCAAGGAGCTGAGATTGTAAGCCGGGATGCATCTACTGATTAGCAGGAAGGAGAAAAAAAACATGATGACTGCGACTACACCTTGTAACCCCATCCTGAGGGAAGTGGAGGAATTCTCATGGCTGTCAGCCGGTCTCAAACTGTCTGGGCAAGGGGGACTCCCTGGGTCTCCTGCCCTGGGACACCAGCCCACTGCACGTGCTTCATGAAGCACACCAAGGGATCAGCGCCCTGTGCTACTAGGAAGCTTTCCAGTACCCAAAGGGTCTACAAGAAAGATGGAGAGGGGCTTTGGACAAGGGCGTGTCGTGACAGGACAAGAGGCAATGGCTTTAAACTGAAAGAGGGGAGATTTAGATTACATAGAGGGAAGAAATTTTTTACGATGAGGGTGGTGAGGCACTGGACCAGGTTGTCCAGAGAGGTTGTAGATGCCCCATCCCTGGAAGTGTTCAAGGCCAGGTTGGATGGGGCTTGAGCGACATGGCAGATGTCCCTGCCTATGGCAGTGGGGTTGGAACTGGAGGATCTTGAAGGCCCCTTCCAACCCAAACCATTCTATGATTCTGTGATTTCACCATCTCATGGAGCACCCTGCACAAACGTCCCTGTCTTCTCCTTCTGTGGATGGAAGAGCTCACCACCACCTCCTCGGCTGCGTCTACAGCCTGGCTTTGACTCTGGCAACCATCTCAAAGCCTGGTACCTATCACTGCTGATAGATTGTCTCAGTCTTCTGGGTTGGCCCTGTGCATCAGGATCAGCTGACGGCAGCAAAAAACAGTGGCAAGATGAAAACTCATCCCAGAGCCATTGAAGAGGAACAGCATGAGTCAAGGTCACAACCCTGTGGAGCAAGCAGTCACAGATCAACCATTTTGGGGCAGGAGAGCTGGAAGACTCAGGCTCCCTCATGTTAGCTAAGCTAAGAGTCTTCTTCTCTGACAAACCCCACCATGGGGACAGAGCTGTCCTGCTAAAGAACAGAGAGATGTATTTTCAGGAAGAAAATTTATGCATGATGTCTTGATAAAATGAGTACAGGCTTTTTATGGAGCAGCCCTGTAGCAAAAAATACCCCCGATAACGTGAAATTCATGTCCTCCCGCGCACCTCTAGATCGCCACCGTGTCCCCACGTACCGGCAAGGCGTCAAGGGGGACCGAGACGGCACGGCGAGGGCAGACAGGAGTGGGCAGGGAAAAGCCCTGGCAGAATCAGGGCTGGGTTGTGTCACGACTGCGATGGGAAGCGGAGGGGAACGACGACTTTGCTAGACGCCAAGATCTTCCCCATAAGGAGACACATACCGCTGTGGGCAGAGATTTTGGGGAAATCAGGCTATTCTTAGCATCCCTCTCCCACCTCCTCCTCTGGAGGATATGTGTGCCTTATCACGATGCCCAGACTCCTTCTCGCCGCTACAGTCACCGTCTGTGAACCCTACCCACAACATTACCGTGAAGACAAAACGCTTATGATGTGTTTGCATTCAGAGAAAGCTTCTCGGGCAGCTTCTTTGTCCTTCCCTTGCCCAAGGTCTAGCAGAGAACTTACTTTACAGCGAGTTACTTACGGCCCGACAGAAGCACTACTGACAATGTGAGATTCACAGCTCCAACCCCAGGTGACCAGGCAGATTTTTTTGAGAAAGTCTTCTACAGACAGCAGCAGGAGATAAAACCACCTTTGAAACAGGACGGGGGAAAGCCCTCTCCCGCTCTTGTGAACATTAACACTTGAGTTGCCTTTTCTGTTTGTCCTCACCGAGGTTTCTGCCACCACTCTGAACCACGCGGAGCTCAGGCTCTGAAATGAGTTGATCAGGAGCTCAGGCTCTGAAATGTCCCCAACCTTGGTGGCAGGGCTGGATTTCTGCTGTACTAGGTGGGGAGTAAGGACCTACGGGACTTCACCTCTCTCTCTTTCCTCCCCTCAGTCTGTCTCATCTATTTAGGCGGCTTCACCTGCTTTTAAGAAGCTTTTCCAGCCCCTGCAGCGGGGATTTTTGCAACGTTGGGATCTGCAAACTCAAACTCTGGCTTTGCAATCCCTTGGACGAGGGGTCTTGCTTGGAGAACATGCTTTTAATCAGCAGAAACACAATATGCAGGAGAAGCCAAGCATCCCTGCAGACGCAGGTACTTTTGAGGTGAGCAGTGCTGAGGCTGGCAAAGCAAACCTCTAGGAATCACAAAGCAAACGTCTACGAATCACGGGCACTTCAGCACCGCAACGCAACGGCTTGGCCCGCAGGTGGAGAAGGACAAACTCTGAAGGCATTTACCTCCCTGAGGCAGGTATAGATGGGGCAGACAAGGACTCGGAAGGGCTCTCCGGTGCTGCTCCTCATGGTGCCGAAGACTTCGCAGAGAAAGGTGATGAACCCCAGCCAGCGCTCCACGTCCCGCTGCTGCAACTCCTCCCGCATGGTGAAATCCTTCTGCAAGAGGGACAGAGACAACAGGCTGCATCAGCAAAACCACATTGCCACGGGAGAGGCAACGGCTGTCTAGAGAGAGAATTAGGAGGAAATTGAAACTCAGGGTGGGGGGGAGGAAGACAGACAGACTGACTCTTTAGTAACAGCGGGGAGATTACTCAACGTACGCAGAGTGGCTGGAATTTCAACACAGCAAAGCCACCAGAAAGCAGGTACTGTAGAAACATCTCCAACTCCTGCAATAGCTGTCACGGCTTGTGCTAGAGACACTGTCCCTCATGCCCTGCCCTCCCCCTCAGACAGACACAGGGACACTTTTCCATATGCACAACCAAGACTGAATAAAAGAAGCAAGAAAGAGTTAAAATGAAATGCAAGGGAAACGCAATGAATGCTGGTGGCCATGCTGGGCTTGGTGGACCTGTGCAGCGTGTTCATTCCAGTATCTTCAGAATACCCAGTGTCTGGCCACGGGCATCCTAATGGTTTATCTGCATCCTGGGGTCTCACGACATTACAGCCAAGACTGGCTCCCTGCCCGACCAGAAGAAGATCAGGGCAGCCTGGGCTTGGCATTAAAAGGTCACCCTGCTCCTCAGCTGATGGTTGCCATGACCAAGGATTAGCTGAATGACGTGATTTATGGAGCAACATCGGGAGGAAGCGTGCAGGCAGATAGCTGCCTCCCCATCAGTCCTCCAGCCTGGGAGAAAAAAAGGGGTTTGCCCGAAGGCAGGATATGAAAAAGGATGTGTGTGTGTTGGGAGCATGTGGCAAAGAGCAAGGGGCAACACAGAAAAGTAAATAAAAACCTTTCTAGAGGATGGCACAAGAGAGTGCTTCGCACTCAGAGCTGAGAAAGAGGCTTTCCCTGGGCTCTCAGCGATGCTGCAGAGCTTCCTGCAAGATGTCCCAGGCAACTTGGCTCGTCTGTCTCCATAGTGACCTTTCCTCGGTATTAAAAACTAGCAGACACTAAGTAGGGGAAAATTAAAGACAGGACAAGTTTGTTCTCAACACCGTGTGCTCCTAGTGCGAGTTGCACGACATCTGAAATCCAGCAACTAAAACAATCTTGTATCTTTTTTCATCTTGTTTTATTCCTACTGCCGGAGACAAAGGGCTTTGCTGCTGCGAATGCTCCCACCTGCAAAGCCAGGGAGATACAAAAGCCACCACACCAACCTTGGCTTTCAGGCCCTGGACAATACACAGGGGATCTTTCTCCAGAAACAAAGGTAAGTGAGGCAGCTGCTAAAGAAATCCGGGCAAAAGCGCGATGATTATTTTCACGACAACCATATGTGTAGAATATCCAAGACAGGAGCTGTTTATATGTTTCATTACAAAAGGAAGAAAAAATAAATATGTATTTGCATATGCAGGAAAAGGACTTGTAAAAGAACCCAGGCACTTATTAACCAAACGGCGATGACTAATTCCTCTCTACACCCATTTCTATAAGGCAATTGCCCAACCGTGTCTGCGACTCCGAAGTCAACCTGCAGCCAAATCCTGTCGGGTCTTTTCAGACTCTCCGGGGGAGTTTGCAGAGTTCATCCTTTCGTTACCCAGCCGGTCCCAGGGCGGTGGTGGAGGAGAGACTTATTTGCCAGCTCAGGTTATCACCCCGGGGTTACTGCATTACTCGTTCTGGAGTTTTCGCTTGAATTTTAATTAAAAAAAAAGTCCAAGAGAAATGACCTCCTGACTACTGAGGAATTAAAAAAACAAGTGATAGCATCCTGTCTCCCTCGTCTGCATCGATGGGGATGTCCAGCCTCACCCACCCACAAGGTCACCCACCAGCCACCTCCGCCTTGGGACAAAAAGCACCCTTTGAACCCTGGAGCCGTTCCTCAATGCCCCAAGATCTCGCCATTCCCTGGCACCGAGCTGTCTCCTCCATCTCACACAGCATTCCGTGCCATCCTGCCCCTCCTGGGCTGGATGACCCCCCGCAGCCCCCCTGTCCTGCCTGGGAGGGTCTACACTGATGAGCTGGGCCGGATTTCGGCATCCCTGAGGCACGCTGGGAAATTCCTAGCAGCTCGGGATAACCACATGGGCTCTGCGGTCCCAAATTACAGGGAAAGAATAAAAACCACGGCAGGAAACTCCCCTCCTTCCCGTTCCTGCTTCACACACACCGCCCTGCTCTGCAGCCTTGCAAAAGAGAAAACTGAAACTTCAATATCTTCTGTTTAAAAAAAATATTTCTGTAAAAAAAATCCACCAAACCAACCAAACAAATAAGTTCCATAAAACAACCACCAAACTAAACCGAACTCATCAGGCCTGGGATGGGAGCTGGGCAGGAAGGGATGCCACCACCAGCACCCTCTTTTTTTCATTCTACGGCACCTGGTGGGTGATGCCACCAGGCAGAGACATCAATGAACACTTGCTCCCGATATTGCAGCTGAAGACCCTTGCAAAGGAAAAGGGACTGGGGTCCTCTCCCAACCCCACCAAGTCACCATGAAGTGGTGCAGACTTTGATGGAACCTCATGGAGGCCAGGTGCAGGGCATGGAATGTGGGATGGATGCAGAAGTCACTGTGAACATTTTGACCCAGAACGTGATACTGCAGCGGGAATAATTTTGCTTCATTTGCAGCCTCAGGTTGGGCCAAATTTTGCAGGTATCCATGGAGCAACTCCCTGGGAGGAAATGGAGATTGTTCGCATGTACTCTGCAAAAGGGGGGCTGATACCTATTCCTTTGACAAAGCAGGAAAAGCACCTTGCCAGGGTAGGAATTATGTCTTTTGGACTGTGCCTGCCTAGAGGCAAGAGTTGGGCTTGCCAGGAGCTAAACCTCCATGGTAGCCAGACTTGTTGCATCAGGGCCATCCTGAAGCCTCCTGAGATACCCATCTACTTTGGACCCACAGGGTGGTGCTACACCAGTGTCATGGTGGGCAGGAGGAAGGTGGCACAGGGAGCTTTGTCCTCAAGTTTGGCCTTTAGACAGCAGGTTTGACCAGTACCATGGCACACACAGACGGGCAAGCCAACACGAATGCCACCCGTGCAGAGGTGTCCCACTTCCCTTGGGGTGTCCACGTTTGAGGAGATCACTGCTGTCATCTAGGTAACTTGGCCAACGGAGTTACGGGTACGATTCAGCTGGCTGCACATCAGCCATGCTCCCAGCAGGACCCATGACCCATCATGCATGCCAGGCATGGAGGATGTGGAGAGCAACTCAAGTGTTTCTCCAAAGGGTTTGCAACCAAAACAGATGAGCTACACCAAAAGCGTGGGAGAGGCGAAGAGCTTCCCCGCAGCAAAGAGCAGCTCAATGGAGAACAAAACCCATGTCCCATGTGCCCAGGGCACATCCGATGGAGCTGTGCCCTGACCTGCAGCCCTCCACACCACTGAAGAGAAGCCTTGAGGAGGCTGAAGAGTGCTGAAACCAGACGGCTGGGTCACTGCCCTGCCCAGTGAACTTTATTTGCTCTGGAAATGCCTCACGGAGTTATACAAAAATAACCTGTGGATTGGCTTGCCCCATGCTTAGGTGGTGATGTCAGGGCAGTAAGCAAATTATCTTTCATCAGTTTGGCTGTATTTTTAAACACAAATTGTATTACTAATTTGGGGGTGCCCTGGCCTGTAGATAATCTGGGTGCATTTGCTGGATGACCTTCCTCCAGCACCTATAGTTTAAAATAACAAGTATTTATACCAGGTAGAAGGGTTGACCTCCTTTCTCTGCCTGGTTTGGGAGAAGAGCTCATTGGGAAACCATGCAGTGAGTGGGGAGATGTCAAGGAGACCTCCGAAAAGGTCTCACACAGGACAAGTTTGGGGCATAAACCAGAAGTCTAAGCATGTTCATCATGTTGCCAACAGCAGGTCGAGGGAGGGGATTGTGCCTCTCTACTCTACTCTCCTGAGACCCCACCTGGAATACTGCGTTCAGCTCTGGAGTCCCCAGCACAAGAAGGACATGGAGCTGCTGGAGTGGGTCCAGAGGAGGCCATGAAGATGATCTGAGGGCTGGAGCACGTCTCCTATGAAGACAGACTGAGAGAGTTGGGGTTGTTCAGCCTGGAGAAGAGAAGGCTCCGGGGTGATCTTATTGCAGCCTTCCAGTACCTAAAGGGGCTACAGGCAAGCTGGAGAGGGACTTTTTACAAGGGTGCGTAGTGATAGGACAAGGGGCAATGGCTTTAAACTGAAAGAGGGGAGATTTGGATTAGGTAGAAGGAAGAAATTTTTTACAATGAGGGAACTTTTTTACACTGGCACAGATTGCCCAGAGGAGTTGTGGCTGCCCCATCCCTGGAGGTGTTCAAGGCCAGGTTGGATGAGGCTTTGAGCAACCTGATCTAGTGGAGGGTGTCCCTGGCCATGGCAGGGGGGTTGGAACTGGATGATCTTTGAGGTCCCTTCCAACCCAAACCGTTCTATGATTCTATTCTATGATTCTTGGCCCAGACATGAGATCTCTCCAAGATCAGGATCAAGCTAGAAGAACCAAGACGACTGGCCACTCCACAGGAGAGGAGGAAAATCCCTCCTCTACCATTTTTGGTGGGCAGCGGAGTCAAGCGGGATGAGAAGCAGCATTTTGCCATCAGATCTAAGCCCTTCCTCCAGCCTAGACAGCTGCAGCTGAAAATTAGTCCCTCGGGAGTTTGCCACACGTTTTTTTAAGACGAGTCCCAAATAACTCTGCCCCAGATCTGGGTCCACCGACTCATGGCTGACTCTGCCAGCAGGAAGCTAGAGGGCAAAAGTTTAGCGTGGGATAAAAATGAGGGTTAATTTAAGCATTGCCACCTTCTGATGGAAAAAAAAAAAAAAAAAGAAAAAGACACATTTGGGTTTGTTGCTCTGTAAACACAGGGCTCTTCCTCTGGCAGCTCTGCTGTTTACTCAGCCATTGTCAAGGAGGCAGGAAATACTGAGTCAGAAATACTGTGCAAAAAGAAATATATAACGCTGAGGTATCAGTGCTGGGCGCTGCATAAAAAGTCGAGAGA